GACTTAGAAAAGCTAGAGTGACCTTTTTTTGACAAAACTGATCCCACCCATTGTAAATCCACACTTAATGGGTTGATTCCAGTGTTGCCTCCTAACTATGTTGGCCTCAGGCCTTTTGTCCAGCTACTAAAGTCCTAACCAATGGGAGAGCTCACTAGGATCTGTAACACAGGGGCTGAGGCAGGCTTCAAATGCGAAGTGACTTTATTAGGGGCATTCCGACACTCATTGTCGTAGCAGGCAGGGGCCAACATACAGGCAGGCAAGAAAAGATGCAGATCCATAATCAGAAATAACCAAGAGAGTTGCAAGAGAAATCAGTGGAAACCAGGGAAAACACAATAAACAGGCTCAGAACACAGAGACTCAAACACATGGTGGAAACAAAGGGGTATATAAAAGACTTAATGAGATCAACATAAGTTGCAGTGTGTGGGAGAGGAGGAGAATGGGCGGAGCCTGGAAGAGTCCATGGCAGTCTCTACGGAGGCGGCGAGACGTGACAGGATCTATCTAGACATGACAATTTTCTATTGACCATTTCAAGATTGTAAGCCTTTTGTTTCCAACCACAGCTTGACAATGAAATAAGAGTATTTCTACAATACTTACAGAGTTTAAATATGACATGCATTATTATATTAAATAAGACTAAACAGAAAATTACAGACATGTATTTTTTTTATTCACAGAAATCACAAGGCCCTGGGGGCCTGAGGGTCTTGCAGTTTCACAATGCTGTTTGTGTACTGTAAGCTTTGTGCAATATAAGCTAACAGAACTGGTTAGCTACATTATTTTCATAGCTCCAATGCAAAAACACAATACATTTCTTGGCTTACTACACTGCTGGAAAAACTTGGCCCAATTATTCCTTTAAGATGGCCAGCATGGTCGCGTAGTCGTGCAATACAGGGTGTGTCACAGCAGAGAGAGAGAGAGAGCAGAATTAATGTCTTAATGAATGAATGAATGAATGTGGAGCAGCAGGATTCAGAGAGTGATGAGGAAAGAGCAGCAGGAGGAGGAAAAGGAGGCCCAGGGAGCCAAGAGAAAGCAGAGGAGGAGGACGGGGGCCCTGGGAATGGATGACAGAGCAGGAGATGAAAACAGAAAGAGAGAGAGGGAGGGAAAGAGTGGGGGGGGGGTGGAGAGAGAACTTGCTGGTGGGTTGGAGTGAAGGAAAGAGAGAAGGGAAGTCCCTGGTGCTCGGCACAATGGCAGAGCGAGAAGGCGAGAGAGAATGGAGGATGGCAGAGTTTGAGTGGCATCTCTAATTAAAAGGTGCAGTTAAGGGCCACAGAGTGGGGCTGGTGGGACCCCCTTGTGCATCAGCCCCTGAGACCCTCCCCATCCCATGATTGATGAGCAATCACAAAAATAAACAAATGCTCGCCCCCTTGAGCTGCACTAAGAAATTGATGCATGCAGCGCCACGGATAAAAAGTGAGGGGAGGAAAATGATAAAATAAACATGAAGACCGTGCCAGGCGCACAATGGCCTTTTGTGTCAGAGCGAACAGAAAAAGCAGGACTGTTTGTGCAAGCGGGGCCGTATGGATCCGCATGCGTCTGTGTGGGTGACTTTAGGGGAAGAGAGTGTGAGTTTAAGGCACGGTTCAGTTGCTGCCAGTGTAACTGGAGGCCATCCTGGGCCTGGCTAACAGGCAGCTAAAAGCAGCTGCCCGCATGGCTGAGCCTTCCTCTGCCTCCGCCATGATGGGCTGCCAGCGCTCCCTCTCCTCGGGGAGCCAGCGGGCGTGCAAACCAAGCTGCTCCCCCTTGGGACTCAGCCAGAACCTGCCAGCTGTAGCAGCACCATGTGTGTGTGAGTGTGTGTGTGTACATTTATGTTCAAAAGTTTGGAATCACCCATCAAAGGGTTGGAATCACTATTAACAGTGATAAACAGACAATTACATTGCAGATTTATGTGCAACAGTCATTTGTGTAATTTCTAGTCATTAATTTATTTATTTTTCTGAAGCAATTAGATAGTTCACTTAAGATAATGTACTTCCTAAAGGAAGAAAAACAAAGGAAAATGAGTGAAACAGTAGGAGTTTCCAAAACTAAATTGTTAAAAGATACAGAGAAAATGGGACTTCAAACAACCATGCAAGACCTGGTAGACCACCAAAATTGTCCCATCAAATTGTCCCATCACCAAAACTGTCCCATCAGATTGTCTTATCACCAAAACTGTCTGATCAGATTGTCTTATCAAAAAAACTGTCTCAACAGTACTTAAAACTTTAATGTTTGTGAGATTGGAGAAAATCAAGCTCCACTCTTCTCTCAGATCTGAAAAAAGCGGAAAATGAAGCAGAAACGAAGCAACCAACATCTAAGACTGAACTTTAGAGGTGTGGAAAGGCATCCCTGCAGATTTCTTTTAAAAAGGTAGTAATTAAGGCAAAGGGTGAACACACTAAATACTAAAAAATGTACATTATGTTTAATTTCTAAATATATCGCTGCTGTTGGAGCAAAACCTTGTATCTCCATTTTTGTTGTTTTTCAGATTTTGACATAATTGAAAACGCCTGTTGCCCTTTGCGTTGTGTGTACATTTCGTGATAAATAGACCAAAAGAAATGACCTAGAATTAGTTGGTAAAATGTCTGGTTCCATTGACTTACATCAAAAGAGAAGTATGTTTTTTCCTTCTCCCATAAAGTTACCATTTTGGAGATATGAGGTTTTGTTCAGACAGCTTCTGTATTTTTCCTTAAAAACTTGTACTTAATGTTGTTTTGACTGGAGATTGAAAAAAGTGGTCTCTGACTTTTTCACAGTATAGTGTACAAAGATTCTGGCAAATGCATACATGACTTGAATCACTGTTCAGAAGTTTGGAATCATACATTTTCAATAACATGAAACTAATTTTGTTGCAGATACATGGTAAAATGTCTGTAATGTGATGTCAGTATGTGGCAACTACTGTATATAGCTTTCAAATTGTTTATAAGAAGCCATTAAAATTAAGCTATTTTAGCAATAACCGTAAATGCATAACTGTCCTCGCTCTCTCTAAATAGGCTGAGTGGCAAGTGAGTGTGTGTGTATGTACCTTATGTTTTCCTCCTCCATTTGCATCTTTCTAACTGGTGTGTATGTGTGTGCATGTCTCCAGATGTAATTTGTATGTATGCCTCTTTCAGCCTTGGTAATTATCAGCTAATGCTGTACAAATGTGCCACAATTACAGTTTCTCCTAATGCGAATGCAGACAGCATTACTTCACACACTTGGCCAGCACTGACTATTATCAGCCACCAGGCACCGGACTGGTAAAGTTGTAATGAATTATGAATGAAATGTTGAGGGAGGCCTCTTTACCCTGGGGGCCGTCCTCCACCACTCCTCTGAGAGGGTGAAGCAGCAGACAGGCAGCAAGCTCCTCTGCTCGCCTCCTCTGGTCTATATGTAATTTACACGCGAGCACAAATGCCACTCGCGGTGCTTTTCTCTCAGCAGATGGGGCCCAGTGTTGCAAATTTATGCTGAAGGTTGCTTTGTTCATTGTCAAACTCTGCATACCAATGCAAAAAATGCCATAAAGGGACCATGTCATCTTAGCCACTGGTGCATTACTGACTCTATTAGCCTCGTGTCGGCCTCTTTGTACTTCTCCAAAATGAGTCCCTGCGCACTGGCTTCGACTAAAAACTCTCTTTCTTTCTTTGTTGTTGTTGTTGTTCTTCTTCTTTCTTTTTCATCTCCTTCTTCTTCTTCTCTAACTACATAGTATTACAGGAACTAAACATGCATTGTCTAGAAGAGGATTTCTTCTGTGTCATACACTAAATACCCAAGAGTTGGGTGTCTTTGGTGATGTCTTTGAGCATCCTACAACCCCATTTCCAAAAAACGCTGGGACGCTGTGCCAGCCAGTGGCCCGGGCATTTTAAGGAGTTAATAAAATACATAAATTCATAATAAAAACCTTCTCGGCCTGGGAACTCTCATAGCTGCAGTGTAGCATTGTTGAAGTGGCCAGTTCAGGCAGCCTCATAACTGTGTCACAGTTGTTATGGTGGCAAACTCTTTAGCCAGCGGGGGGAACATCAAGACATGCACACAAACAATACAGAACAGTCCACAAACAATACTAATGTAAAGCGGCCATATTATACATGATAACATACTACACAGATTGGCTTGGCTTGATTAATAGGACATTTTCATGCCTGTCATGACGGGACTCTAACAAAATAGGCCCCAAAAACCTCAAGCTCTAAAATTCTCCGGAAAAAAGGCCCAAACGTTTAAGCATGGGGGTGTGCATAGCATTAACCCCCCCCCCCTCCCAACTTCTGCCCACTGTACTCTGATTGAATGGACCCAGATGCCCAGTTTAAATAATTGACAGTGGTTTGCTTAAAAAAACTGGTGCTTTTCTTTTTTAAAAGACCCCAGAAGAGACTGAGAGGTGTATCAACGATTCCAGTATGCTGTTTTTTGGTATTTCTATACTATTTTCAAACCATTACATCTTTATTTATTCTGGCTGCTACTTGACTGCTTAAATGGCCAGGGCCAAAGGTTTATTACACACTTCTTTATCCTGAAAATAGATCAGCCAGTTTGAATTAAAGTCAGCTGCTGTTCTATTCCACCCAAACAAGATTATTAATTATTTTATGATGCTGTGTTCTTGATCAGATGTTCTTATGATTTTCTGAACAAAATTTAAATGAAGCAAAACATGACTAATCATGCTGTTGCAAAACGTACTAACAACCTTAGAGCTGAGGAGTGCTGGAGTGAGTTGATTTGTGCTGATTGTTTGCAAACTTTGGTGTTCAAACAGTGCGATTGCATTTGATGGCATAATTAATGGACGTCCATTCTACACGATGCACATCGTCACAGTTTTCCATTGCGATGACTTAACTAGTTATTTTAATTACGCTTTGGCAGATGTGAAAATACCAATAAATGATTCTGATTCTCCCCCTCTCCCTCCTTGTCCCCCTGTTGCTGTAATGTAGGCCACAGAATGGGTCGATGATACTGTACAACAGGAAAAAGGTGAAGTACAGAAAGGACGGCTACTGCTGGAAGAAAAGGAAAGATGGCAAGACCACGAGGGAGGATCACATGAAGCTGAAAGTGCAGGGCGTTGAGGTAAGAAACGCTTCCATTGGAGCACTTCCAGACATGCTGGCCACACACTGGGTCATTGTCGCCACTGAGCATTTCTCAGACATGTAGCTCCCCTTTTACAAAAACCAGCCTGGGTCTCAATGGTTTGGATAAGTGCTCTGGTGTTATAAGACTTTTTTACATCACACACACACACATACACACACACACACACATACACACACACACACACACACACACACAGCAGCCCCTGCCATGCCACGGTGAAAATAAAAAATACACCTCAGCAGCACAATTTTAGTTTTCCCTTGGTAGCAAACAAAATGGAAGCAATTGTTTGTACCTTATTAAGCTCTGGATGTTACCTTTGGTCCAGAGAGGCAGCATTAATCTTCCCCCATGCTGTGAGCCTCCGCCACCACAGGTAGACTGGAGGCCCCTCCACTGCTCCAGCCTGCCCTGGCCCGGCCCTGCCGCGTGTGTGTGCCACCAGTGATTTATCTCCGCACCCTTTGCTCTCACACGTACACACGTTTGGCGTTACAGAGACGCACACACAAACAACAGGCTGGTTTTCAGGGCCGAGGGCCTTGCTCCTTCTTTTCAGAGGTGACCGTGCGGGTCCTTTCGTGTTGTTTGTGAAGAGTGCGGGCAGATGGACGGGAGGGAGGGAAGTGGGGGCGGGCAGCAGGGGGGTGTTCCTTGGGGAGCGGAGCTTCTTGATGTGATCACACTGCAGCACAGACGGAAGGAGACACACTCCACACATGCGCACACAGGAAAGTGTGCAAACACATGCTGGGCCACACTGCCACTCAGAGCGGCTCTCACTGAAGATCAGAGATCATTTTAGGTCTGTTAGGGCCTTTGGACATAAGTTTTTCCTGTGTTTAAATGGGTAACACTTTACTGTAGGGCAGTCCTCAAAAGGCTACATGACCCCTACATAAGGCTGTCATGACGACACACAGAAACCTGCAGTCGTGTGCAAAAGTTTGGGTGGCACTGGTCAAATTACATGTTGATTTTCTATATGAAAGTATGAAGTTTGTTCCCTGTAGTGGATGTGTTAGTTTATTTTCACTTAGAATATGGTTTCAAACATTTTCCATACGACTGCACATAAACATTTATAAAGGCTTATTCCAACAGGCTTCATCTGTCATAATCTGATGTCAGATCTGATGTCAAGTGACGTAACTCTGACACTGGGTTGTCATGACGCTATTTTAGGTGACATGACAGCACATTATAACAACTGACTTTGTAGTTTAGCGTTTATGACAGTGATATCATGTCGATTATGTAACAGGCTTGTTCACCAGTTTCATCCATAACAGAATGCATCCAGTTTGCACCTGAAACTGCCTCAAAAGGCTTAGTACATCAGTCCCAGTATATAAAGTCACAGCAGCTTCAAAAAACAACTGCAACAGAATGTGGTGCAATTATGTTCCCTAACTACATGTAATGGAGGCACACCCTTGAGGGTACAGCATCTGCACCCTGAAAAGTGCTGTGTAGTTTTTTCTGAGAGTAAACCAACCAATTTTGAAAGACAAAAATAAGACATTTGGAATGTCATGTTGTTCAGCAATTCCCTGCCAATTGCTGTTTTTAGTTAATGCTTTTATGGTCTTTGTATTTTTTAATTCATACAGTTCTTTAGGCTCAGAGACAAACACTGTGAGCCTTTCAGCAGTGATTTTACTCTAAGATCATGTGAGGATGAGTTGTTGTCTACTTGGTCAGTCAGTTGTCATCTGAAAAGATGCTGAAATTAAATGCAATGACTACAAAAAGTGTCTTTGTGGTTGAATATTTCTTTCCTTAATAGTTTTATGTGGAAGAAAAATACTACCTACAACTACAATCTATTCCCCCCCTTCAGTGTGCAGTGAGCTCAGTGGTGTCATCTATGGCCTCTCACACACAGGTCTCCTAATAGCAGTGGAGCAAGAACCAAATTCAGCTGAAGAGGTGGTGAATGAGAAAAGCTCATCTCTCTCTGTCTCTCTCTTTTTCTCTCACTCTTGCTCTCTCTCTTTCTCTCGTCTGTGTCACCAGTGTTCTCTAGACAGTCGCCTGGCAAGCTCACCCCGGTACATTGCTCCATATGTTCAGCTGTGTGAGTGGGAGCAGTTTAGCATACACAAATTGCATTTAGGGTTAAAGTGACTCAGGAGATGACTTCAGGGTTTATGTGACTCAGCAAATGGCTTTAGGGGTTAAAATGACTCAGCAGACAGCTTCGGGATTAAAGTGACTCAGTGGACAGTTTCAGGGTTGAAGTGACTCAGGAGATGACTTTAAGGTTAAGGTGACTCAGCAGAAAGCTTCAAGTTAGAGTGACTCAGCAGATAGCTTCAGCTGAAGGTGACTCAGCAGACAGCTTTGAGGTTAAAGTGGGTCAGTAGATGACTTTAGCATTGAAGTGACTCAGCAGACAGCTTCAGCTGAAAGTGACTCAGCAAGACAGCTTCAAGTTAAAGTGATTGAGCAGACAGTTTCGGTTAAAGTGACTCAGCAGAAAGCTTTAGGGTTGAAGTGACTTAGCAGACAACTTTAGCATTAAAGTAACTTAGCAGAAGGCTTTAGTTTTAAGTGTCTTAGAAGAAGACTTCGGTAAAAGTGACTCAGCAGGAGCTTTAGGGTTAAAGTGACTAAGCAGACAACTTCAGGTTAAAGGGACTCAACAGAAGGCATCGAGTTAAAGTGTCTTAATAGAAGACTTCAGCTTTAGGTTAAAGTGACTCAACAGATGACCTCAAGGCTAAAGTAACTCACATGGCAGCTTCAGGGTTAAAGTGACTCAAAAGACGAAATCAGCTGAAAGTGACTCAGCAGACAGCTTTGAGGTTAAAGTGGGTCAGTAGATGACTTTAGCATTGAAGTGACACAGCAGACAGCTTCAGGTTTAGGTGACTCAACAAATGACTTCAGGGTAAAAGTGAATCTTTGGGGTAAAGTGACTTAGCAGACAGGGGCTGTCCCAGTAGGTGAGGTGGAGGTACAGTGAAGGGTCTGCTTGACAAATGCTCTCAGCCAGCGGCGAGCTCTTGGAGCTTTGGTCCATCCCAGCATGACCTGCATGAAGAGACCACTGTCAGATGACAGAAGCAGTGTGCACAGTGCATAACGAGCAGATGAGATCAGTTGGCTGTATTGATGAATGAACTCTCCTGCAGTGAGAGTTTCCGACAGCCCACTGCGAGTGTTGGTGCGATCATGGCAATGGCCACTCAGGGTGCCCTCGCTGCTCTCCGTGTGAGCGGTGGGCGATCAATCAGCACCTCGCTCTCTGGGATAATAACCCTGCCCTATCAGTCTTCCTCAGGCCTGTTTACTGAGGAACACAAATAAATGCTTTGACCTTAACCTTCAGCGTTCACTCTCACTGAGTACTTTTTCTCTAGCTGTGCTGGACTTGCTCAAGACGAGGTCACCCTCTCTGTGCCCTTTTAAGTATGGATGGAAGGATCGATCGACTACAGATTGGAATCGGCTGATTTCCATTGTAAATATATGATCACAGATGCTTCTTCCATCTATGTGATGAACGAGAGGCATGTAAATACACGGTTGCCAGCTTATTAGGTAGATGTACCAGGTGTACTTGGTAGATGTGCAGTTGGTGACTACTGTTCATATGTTGCTGCACATTTTGTCAGCCACTCTCTACCATCATAAGACCATCTCTGACTAGATGTTATTTGCGTAGCTGGCGACATGACAACAAACATAGGCTTTATATATATATATATATATATTTATATATATATATATATATATATATATATATATATATTATCATCCTGAAATGTAGACCTAAAATAACTTAAAGCCTATGTTTGTTGTCATGTCGCTTAAAAGAAATGTTAGACTACACCTGGTTAATTCAAGTTTGCTGCAACATTTGCTGTCTTAAGCATTTCAACCATTGGCCTTATAGCCAGGAGCTTGTGTTTATTTACCGGTGTTGCCACAGCCATCCATGGCTGGTGATCCCAGAGATCCTAACTGGCCTTGCTCTTTGAGTAGGTAGCATGGTCCTCCCTTTCCTTCCATCATTCAGTGCAATGCCAGCCAGTGCGGTTATCTATTAGCTAACATAACAAAATTGGCATTTTGCATTTTCCAAGCGCATTGGGCTGTCCTGTTATATGTCACACACCCAGACTGGTGGCATCATAGGATAGGAGATTTAGCAGCAGGTGAAATTGTTAGTGACTAAATTCGGAAGAAAATTTCATTCCGCTTTTTGTGTATCAGATGGAAATGATCAGTCCAACTCCACTTTTCAAGGTTAAGTCCTTTTTCTCATCCCAGGAGACATGGACACATTGGAGTAATGAATGCTTTAGGACAGCAGCTTTTGGTGTCTGAAAGAAGGGGTGTGGAACAAGCGGGCCACCAGAGCTGTAGCATGTGTGTTGTGAGGCAGTGGTGCGTAGTCAGAGTGGATGTCAGTGTCAGCTGTTGTGCAGCCCTGTCCTGGCCTGCCCGTGCGGGGCAGAATGGGAAGGCTGCTGCTGCTGGCTCAGCAGTCCGTGTAAACGGTGGTTCTTGCATCTACCCGGTGTCTCTCTGCCCCAGTTCTCTTTCTCACTCCCTCTCTCTCCCTCCCTCCCAACCATCGCCTCTCCTGCTCCCTTCCCTGTTCGCGGCCTGGCCGAACCTTGAGCCCAACAGTAATGCTCCCTGTTGCCTAAAATTGGAACGCGGGACGTGTTACAGCATTAGCGCTTAACAGGCCGTGAAATAGCAGCCTGCCTTGCTGACGGCTCCCCATCACTCCAGGTGAGCCGGGCAGACGGCTAAATAAATGAACACTCTCCTCCCCTTGCTCCATCCTCCTTCCTTCCCACAATGCAACTGGGAAGCCAGAGAAAAGCATGTCCGTCACTACACGTCTCCCCTCTGCCGTTGCTCTGTGAGCTCTCCCCTCCTCTGACCCCACCTACAGGGGCCGTGTCAGAAAATCAGCCGCCCATGAGACACTGCCCAGCGCAGCCTCATCT